GTGTATGCTTACGAACACGCAGTCGGTCGGTGTTCGGAATAACTAACGTATATTTCTGATATTGTAGGCTTGCATAACGTTGCTGGGCGGGGGGGGGGAACAATGTGCCAGCACAACCCATGTTCTGTTCGCTTCACAACGGGGGTGAACAAGAAGCATTTAACCAAGTTATTGATGCATTCTTGCGCTCAGTCAGAATGATCCAAAATTTCAAAAGAACTTGATAGTATAGTTTTAGAACAAACGCAATGGAACAATGAACTCAATTAACTTCACTATCTGGGGGTCCTCAATGTTCAGAACGTTATCTACGCAATCTCCAACTATTGTGTCTCGTCTACTGACCTCATACTACTTTACTGAGAACTAATAATCGAAAACTTCTTCTACGTGGTCGAAAAGTGTACTGCATTATAATAAGTGTTTCACGGTTCGCTTTAAAATAGCCACCCAAGTTCTTGATAGCACTTTTAGGGACTTACGTGGGATATCAATCTCAAAATAGAAACAATTAGGGTTTTGCGTGGAAGGAAAGAAAGAAACTCAGATATTATGTGCAGATATCGAGCTAGTAACCGAAGGGAACAATATCACCAAAAGATAGATACTTTCTAGAGAGCGAGGGGTAATATTTGGATTGTTCGACTTTCCCTTTTCCCTTCAATGGAACTTCTTATCTGTACGCAATCACAGGTATTTACTGTGTTATTGATAGAACGAGGTTGTAATAAAGATGACGTGGTCTGTCATTTTGTTCAAGGTGTTTAACTGTCGAGTTCTACTTTTGATTATGGTCAGAATTTTAGTAACCAAACGGTGTGATCCATTTGTACAACAATCACGGTTACACATTTTGTTTTAATCAGTAAATAGACCGTTGGAAATGCATTGCCATATACGCAATAAGAACATGCGATGAGATAAAATAAAGCAAATACTGATGTGAGCAAATTCGAGTCTCAAGTGGGTTCCCAAACTTTCGTACGTAAAACAAAAACACGAAATGATGTCACATGACTACGCAGTAGACTACGCGAACAGCTTGTATATTCATGAACATTCAATGATGTGAACAACAGATTTGAAATTCTCCCGGGGTTCCTGTGGCTTAATTACTTGAGAGAATTTACTTCACCGTAATCCAATGCATGAAAATTGATGAAGCAAATAAAACACTATCAAGTGTATCACTTTGCATTCACTTTGTAAAAGAATGGTTTCTGTTGACTTATCCCTTGAGATTAGTAAAGATTTAAGCTTATAGATAAATCCGCCAGTAATCGATCACTTTAATTTTGACAAAAATTAACAACTTTCTGAAATGTATTATTTAAGTTTCAAAAACATTTATCTAACCATCCTGGAGTGCTGCATGACCGACATCTGAACAATACTAGTTTTTTCTCTTCTAAATGAGAACAATAGTGAGATTAGCCTCTTGTCCCAGCTTCATGTTCTAAGCGAGTTCAGACAATGTACCTGAAGTTGCTTAGCAATAAGAATATCGTTTTTTAAGAAGAGCTATTGGTCTAAGACAGTGTTTTACATGGAACCAATCCCTCCCCCGTATCGAGATGAGTCGAGTCATTTTTTGTTGTCCTCCAAGTTTCCTTGATATTTAGCGCTTATACGTAACTCGTTTGTAATCAAGTTCCGGTTTGTATATCACTGCAGAGAAAACATTGTGGCAGATATCAGCTTTGGTACACGAAAATGCATCTTGTCTTTTGGAATAATATTTAACTGTATGAAACGCAACTTTGCGAGAGCTGCATCAAGACCAGATTATAAAACCAACTTGTTCATTGCAATATGTACATTAGTCGGTAAGAGACAAACTGTGGTAGCCACTCGAAAGAGGGAATGCATTGGAGAATAAGACCACAGTTTGGGTTGTGTTTTACCATGGAATTGAACATTTGATAAATAACGAAAACTTTTCAAATAGCAGTATGACAAGTTGTACGCAGGTATTTTCAGCAAGAAAGTGTGATCAAGTTGCTGGCCAATCAAACATTTTAGACGAGATTTTCTTCACTTATTTGACCAAATGATCGAAAATTTTGGAATTGAAGTTAGCATAATGGAAGTGATTTTTTCACCCTCGTTCACGTTGTTGATATACCTCAAGTTTCTTTATCTGACTTATCAATCATCCGTGAACTCAGCTACAAAAAACAGAATAGGTATGCACGCCCTACAGTATAGACCAGATGAGCTTCAAAATGTTCTAAGCTTTCGAAGCTTCGCAATTGAATTGATAGACGGATGGGAGTGTATCTGAAGTGTATCTCAATCCAAACGATTGGTGTTCACTCTCCATCAGGCCTGATAATTGTTTTTCAAGGAAAGCAGGACAAAACCTATAATGGGCAGACCCAGTATTCATCGTTGTATTGTTCCTACCGGTTGCAACACCCGTGGCATAAAGTTTCTATCGGGATTAGCCGTCATTAGCAAATTGAAGTCAGGCGGAATAGGTTGGGATCAATTGATAAAAGAAGCAAAGTGAGCTGACTACTTGCCAAATGTTAACAAAGAAAGGTGATATATGGTGTCTTGCGCTGGTTCAAAGGATGCGGAACAACGATCGAATGACTCTTTAATTTTCATAGAGTATATATAAAGCAAAATATTCAGTTATTTGTTTATTCTAAACAGAGGCTGATAGAGTAAAACCAGGGATCAATTCATTGATGCTAGCAGGAAAGTCAAATTCATAGTTAGCGAGCACAGGTACATCTTCAGCGTCACGGTACTTCAACACGTGTCGGCGGCAACCACATGTTTTCTGGCTTGGTCGGTCGCAGATTCTTTGCTAACAGGCGAAGGCACACGTTTATAGATTCATCGACTGGCCGAAGTCAAAATACGTCATTATCATTTGCACAACCGATAAAGAAAATAGCAACCGCTGGATTTTCTTTTGTATGAAACAACTGAAGCATTAATTGAAAAGTAAAGGAGCGGTTACGAGTTAATTGTGTCTCTTAGTGTCGCAAATCTATCAACCAGAATTGGGTTCAAACTTGGAACCTCACAAGTAGATGTCAAGCATACTAGCCGATCCACAACCGGACAACCGGTTTCAGATGATTGGGTTGCATTAGAAACAATCTAAAGACGGCCACTACGAGCAGCTAACCATATACATACACATATATTTATATATGTATATATATAACACCGGTTTGTGAACAAGCATGGTGCCAACGCCATAACAACAATAACAATAAAATAACATAAGATGATTGGATTGGGATACAGCACAAAGTGAAGTGAAGGTGAAACAGTTACAATGGAAAATGGTAGGTAACCGGAATAACATTTTTTTCTGTTTGACTGCCCCTCTTTTGATACTTTGATGCTAAGAAACCCTTACGAAGTTCTTTCTATAAAAATCCCATGGGTAATCGCCATTTTTTCAATCTGGATATTTCCAGTCGCGTGATAACCCCGGGGACCCATAGTACAGAGATGAGTGAGGTACGATGTCGGCAACAAGCTCACAAGAATGCATTGTGCCATATCGTTTAACTTCTGGTCGGCTGTCGATTGGTCGAGTGGGTAGTGTGCCTGAAAGGTCTCCGGTTTGATCCGCTGATGAAACCCAATCAGGTCAAATTAGGTGTACAATGATTTCTTAGCTTTCAGCCCCCGTTTCAGTTGCTCCATACACGACAAAATCCATCGCGTATTGAGTCAAATACCCCACAACTCTCATATATGAAAATGCATACCAGAGACGCCAGAATCCTTTAACAAAGCACATCAATCATCGACCTTTACCGTATAAGTTAAAACTGATAACGTATTGACTTGTTACTCGAAGGGGAGATGGATCAATGAGAAGACAGATACACAGGAAAAGAAACATTGAATTTTTAATCAACTAACTTATATATTTCAGTCCAGTGTCTTGCCTTCTCAGCCCACAATCTTTTCAGCAGACACTGAATGAGAAACTACGATTTATCCGCAAAACGCTTCGAATAATTGTTACCAGGAAGTATTTATCTGTGAGATTATTCCGCTCACTCCGATAAAAGAACGCTTCCTCTGTGTCTCCTAAAAAAAGATTTATTCATCAGGATTCCTCGTGAGAGTTACATACACAGTTCAATGCAGTCATTGAGAACGGATGTAGATTCTCATCCTGAGCAGCCATACGTATATCTATGTTCTCTACGTCATTGGTGATTTAAATGCAAGGAAAAATTTAGACTGCCAAAACTAAGCCTCCATGTTGATTTTGTTCCTTAAAGTGTTTCTGTGGTGCGTGCTACATAGGTCGCAAGGAAAGGAGCCCGTCTCAATGCTTTAAACGGAGCCACCAGCGCTATCTCAAGCGCAATCATGGATCATCTCTTAGCGATCAGAAGCACGATGGAACTGGAGAAAGATTCCGATGTTGTGTATCACATACCAAGTAATCCTCCCAGGGTGGTCCGGGTTTGTCCAAGGCAATTATCTTGTTAGCCTTAAAACCTGTGCACCCAAAATACTGATCCACTTGCTTTAACTGCCTCGGCATACCCTGAATACAATGACAAGAAATGAAGTGTCTCCTAACCCGAGTGGAGAAAGTTCACATCAACTAATAAACTAAACGTTATTCTTCAGAAACACATTCGCGATCATCCCCATGGTATAGGTAACAAACAAGCGTTTAGATTTTGACGCACTCAGTGAATATGTTCCGTATACAACGACGAAATAGGGACTGCCAACTTTTTCGGTTTATCAGTTTTGTGTTTAAACCATTGATTAATTTAGTTGAAACTTAGAAGTAACGTAAATGATTAAGTAAATCCATTGGCATTGTTCCCTTGACAACAAAGAACCGATTAGCAATGAAATCACAAACTTGGATTAATTTTTAATTTTGATTTTCAGCTTCACTACATTGATCTGTCAACTTGGTTTGGCATTGTCCCGATGACCTTCAGCAGTGTGGGAATTGTACTGACCATCGGAATCATTGTCACGTGGTTGGTCTACTCCGAGACGCCTGTCGTTCGAGCGACAGGGCGCGAGTTAGCCTACGTACAACTATCCGGTTGTCTGGTCTGCTATGCCTGCCCGTTTGTTCTTTTGTCAACTCCATCCGTGTTCACCTGCTCTTTACAACGCATCCTCATCGGTTTGGGTTTCGCCATGATGTATGCATCATTGCTGACAAAAACTAACCGCATCGCTCGGATTTTTGACGCGGCAAAACGAACCACTCGTCGTCCGGTCTACATTTCACCCCGCTCCCAATTGGTTATCGCGGGATCGTTGATCACCCTGCAGCTGGCGTTGTCTGCAATCTGGTTCGGGTTCGATCCACCAGACACACGGATTGATGCGATCGGACCAAGCTATTTGGTTCTTCGTTGTGCCATGAAAGATAAAAGTTTCCTGATCTCACTGGCCTACAACATGATATTGATTGTGGTATGCACAGCACATGCAATTAAAACAAGACACATTCCAGAGAATTTTAATGAGTCAAAATTCATCGGATTTGCGATGTACACGACATGCATCATCTGGTTGGCTTTCCTGCCCATGTTCTACGCAACAATGAACAATCATGAGGTGGGTTTGGGAGTTTTATTTTATGTGCAATTGGAGTGATATGTATCGATGCGACAGGTAAATTGATTGAAATTTATTGGCCGTGGGAAACACGTTTGTACTCTACCAACATGCCACGTGAACTTTGTTTATTCAAGTTGGGTCCAGTCATTTTGAGACCTTTAACTTTAGTCTATTATTACCCATGGCGCAAAAACAACTTCTATTGTCAGCAAAAACAACATTGAATTTCTCGGACGTAGTTGCTGACACCCCAATGTGCACTCATGCATGTCCCATTAACACTCAAACTGCGAAATCCGTGCAGTCGAAATCAACGATAACTTGCAAGCAACCATGGCAGTAATGCAGAATGAACAAATGGATGGCGAGGTAGTCGAGTGCTGCTTGAAGGAATAAATAAAATAAATAAATTAATCGGCACAAACGAAACCGAAAAACACAAAGACTGAGTGTCAACTGTTAGGCACCATTTGAAGGACATTCTCAAATGGTTAAGCTCAAGTTAAAAGTAGGTAGAAGGCATAAGTGCATATGAAATCTCCTATTCCCTTTACCCATTTCATCAACACAACAAGACATATGTGAGCAAAGTTGTTATTGGCCATCGGTTTCACTCGATTTCATTCAACAGTAAAAACATATTTATCCACTCATTTCAAACAAGAGAACACGGTAGTTGAAGTGAGTTTTATGAACAAGGTGGCGAACGGAGCTCCTTGATCAACCGAATTTCGCTCCTACCAGCCAAACTAATCTTATGGTTACAAACATGACCATGGCCTTGGTGACCACTGTAACAAAAATGAGTTGCGGGATTCTTTACGAGTTTAGGTTAGGTTAGTTGACAAATTTTGATTCTGCATTATGCAAGTGAACTGGTTCAAACAATTGGGTGACTTTGGAGGAGGAGAGGGAGGGCAGAACGTGTCACAGTGTGGGATGACGGCTTTCGACGTGAATTAATCATTGCCAAGGAAACAACAGTTGCGTCATACTGCTATGGCTATGAATAATTATTGCTTCCAAAGATCTCAACGTCAATGAAGTATCGGGGTCTCGTAATGACAGAAACTTATTTTGATGCTTCACCCAGGTAGCAGAGTCCGTGGAATACCGTGCAACTGTGCGGTTACTTTTGTTAGTAAAGTGAATACAATAACCGAAATGACGCTCGAGGCCAAGATAAGCACAATAAGCAAATTGGTAATTACTTCAAGATTTTGTAGATACGCATCTGAAGACAATTGCTCGTTCAATTTTGAAACAGTTTGGACTATTTAGTTAGTCTTCATGATGGGTCGTTCTTCTTTGCTGGGATGAACAATTTCCAGAGTAATGACTCCCACTGACAACATAATGTACCTGTTCAACTAGCCTGACGATTTTCATTACCATGGGTAAGGTCGGGTAAGTCGATGGAAGACTAACGCATTGAATCTCACAGTTCCTGCCGGATGCTCAATATCTTTTAAAAAGAATTTTTAGTGTCATCATCTCCGCCCGTGTTGTCTATTAACCCTTCTCCCTAGAGAGCGGCGTTTTGCAAATCACTGTTCCTTGTAGGTATTCTGAAATCATGAGAAGCAAAAACTCATTCAAGGGTTCTGACAAAAGAGTCCGTTGTCTGATTTCTTTTGAGAATTACAGACTGAGGGTTTTTTCAGAGAAATGACATCTCCGCATTTAACGGCTTCCCAACATAATACTAAAACCTAGAAGCCAATCTGCTCTTAGACAGATTCCGCCAGTGGTTTATCGCAGTAACCGACAATTAACAACTCCTCATAACTGCATAACCATTTCTCTTAGACTTATGTGATTCATCCAAGGCGAGGTGGACAGAATTTTGCATCTAGAAGAAAACGTTTTCCAGGATAACTCAATTTGGATCAGTCCTTATTAAAATCTCCTTGGTTTTGCGCATAAGTGATATCGTTATCTCGTCATATCCGTTCAATCTTATAGAGAAATCAAGTAGAATCAGATCGAGTTGAATGAGTTTCGCCTACAATGGTGGTATGACATAATCAATAAATTCAATCTCCTACTATGTCACATCCTTCAGGTAATCAAACTATGGGGTAATTTCCAGAAACTGCGACGCAGCAAGTTACGTATGTTTTTATAGCATGAAATAATCAACTGGGATATTTGGGCTATCGATGAAATTGAAATGATGATGTTATGATACTGTTAGCCTAGAATTTACACGTTAAATTTGGTATTTAGCCCTTTCTCAGTAATCCCGAAAGTACTTGTCTTTGGTAGGGGGAAATCTTACAAGCCGATTATTGCCTAATAATTCCAGAAACTCCTATATTTTTTGCAATGCTGGATTAACCACAGAATTGAGTATATGGAATCCAAAGAAATATCCAGCGGGTTGAGTTATAATGTTCATACAGCGTGGTCAATAACATTCAATAACATCCAATTCACTATGAAGACCGAGAACGATAATAACGGGGGATTTTGGATATCTTAATCAACCGAACACGATCAGAACACCTGGGAATAATGATCCACTGCACAGTAGCGAATAAAATCAAATCCTAAACTTCAAAATTAATCGTCCATACAGCCGCAACAGATTTTATTTCAGGACCCTTACTCAAAACCTCCACGATTGTCATTCACTCGTTTAAGTAGCTACATTTTTGCAAAATACCACTAATTAACCGAATTTCGCTCCCCTACATTAGGCTAATCTTATGGCTTAAAACATTACTATGGCTTTGGTGAGCACTGTGGCGAAAATGACCGCATACGAGTGCCACCGCACAATTAAAAGAAAAAAATGTATACAAATTACAAAGATACATTTCCAGTAAAATCATAAAACATCATTCCCCTCAGCTTGGAAGCTAGCAGGTTTGCTGTTCAGTACACTTCTCTAATCGACTCCAAATCTGAGTATTAGCTAAGGCAAACAACTTCAATTGATCCAGTCACTTCTGAGCCTCTTTAAAAGAGTTAACTTCATGATTCAAATTCATCTTCTTTGTGATGCTTACCTTGATTCGAAATGAGTTTGTCTAAACAGTAAAACCGAGACTTGATACAACACTTTTCGATAACCCGAATCTCCATCATCATATTTGAAACAGGCACTTCTTCTTCAGGAAGAAGCTTTGCAATACGCACATTGGGTAAAGTCTTCAATCAGATAGCACTTACCATCTGGTAGGTACATCATCGGCTGATTCAATGTGGGTTTGAACCCATCATTCAGAAAACGTAGTTCAGTAGGTGTGTATGCACAGACACCAAAGCTTTTTTGATCAGGTGCATGGTCATGAGAATGCCCACTTCTACTGTTACGCTAAAATGTTCATCTTTGCCCAAAGACACCAAGTATTCCAGCAAATATTTCTAGATCGAACGTTTGAAAGACTGAAAAAAACGTCCTTAGGCCCATTATTCATTCTCATTTTTCTACGTTTATATACCATCATAAGATGGCATCGAAAGTTGGGATTCACTAAAATGACTGAGACTCGCTGGTCTTTAACGGCGAATTCTCCTTCAAAACTGAATCAGATCCTCCGTTACTCACTTGATCCAGGTGGTGAGGTTGTGAGTGTTTCCAACCGAGTCATAACCCGGAGGCTATTGCTGAGATGAACAGCGTCTGCGGCCCACAACAAGCCCGCAAAGATGAGTCGAAACAGCCGTCCAGTGCTTCCTAGCATTTTAATTCACTCCTCGTTTGCTATATACATGACGGATTCACCTTTGAAATGGAATCAAATCCTTCATTACTCACTGGACGACGTAATTGTTAGATCATCCGATCGTTGGGATCGTTGGAATGTGTTCAGGTGGGCCAGATTGCTGGGCATCAATTGTTTTTGGGCTGTGAAGACGAATTCCTATCGCTTCTGCTGTGGCCAGCACACGACCTCTAAATTGCCTTGCTCGTTAACCGCGAACCCGATACCGGGGAAGGAATGCCTACGTCACATTCACTGTGAGATTTGTTTCAACTGGATGTGAAACCACTGCACTAGTGACTGACCTAATCGTTCCCGTATTTGCCATGTGGGGCGGTGGTCACGGATTAGTTCGGACAAACACCTAACCGTGCGTCAGACTAGGTGAAAAGCCATTGGCTTTGTTAACTCGAACATCGAACCAATGACCAAGTGATTAGATATCAGGAAGTGCGATATAGTGAGGGGGGAATGACATTGCATAGTCAGTATCTACGCTATTACACATACGGTTGTTTTGGGTTTTCTAAAATGTGTGGGAAGATTTTGGAAAATGAGACTGCTCATGGGTGTGGTCTAGTAGGAGATTTACTATACTGAGTTGGACTGACCGATCTTTAGATTTCATATTCAGGCGTATTCCTCTATTCATCCAGTCGTCTACAAACTCTGAACTACAATGCTTCTCCCTTTCGAACATGTTAGCAAAGCACATCTATTTTCTCTTCGAGCAATTGGACTTCGAAAACCCTTGCATTGAAGTGTGTTACCGCTGAGTCAACCGTAACAAGCCCGGACTGACCAGAACTACCACAACTAGTGGAATTACCTGCGTGCGAATTTCAATTAATTCATTGTTATTTCAATGTCAATATTTGTTTCTATACGCATGCAAATTTAACGAAATAAATTTTGTTCTATGTGAACCGTGGACTTTGACGGAAGTTCAGTGGAACTCAATGGAATTTCGTTCGCTTGATCATCAAGAATCTATACTAAACTCTACCTCCTAAGCATCGATGTCGGTTTCTAGATACACCTCTTAGCCTCCATTTTCTATCCTATCGAAATAGGTCAACCACGGTTGGGTTCGACCATTCTCGACGAATCCTCATACAATCGACAGCGAACAGTACACCTTTCCTGGTGTCACTAACTGCCAGACCCCATTTGACTGAAGACTTCATTCTCAATTGATAACTTTTTCAAATATATCTGTTTTACGGTTGAGAATGTCCGTTTAATTGGAATGGACGATCGTTGTATTAGACCCGATCCCAATAGTGATACGTGACAGCCGAAGCAATAATCACATTGTTGATT